TGCCAATAAAGAGCGCACAGTCTGGCGGGGATAAGCAAGTCAGTCATTACAGCACAGGGGATGAAGCAGTGTGATAGTTGTGAGTACGCAGCCTTATAGGAGCAGAGAGGAAGAGTATCTTAAATCACATGGGGTGTGTGTATGTGTGTGCTGCATGTGTGTAGACAGGGCGTGAAGGAGGTGTGGGGAAATGGATGGAGGTCTGGCTTTGCCACAAGCTGATTTTTAAATATTGAGGGAGGGATGAAGAAGGAGAGGGATCGGTGTTTTGTGATATAGCGAATGTGAAGGTTCTCAAGTATGGAACAGCATGACCGGTTTGGGGAGCTCTTAGCAGCCTGGGATGGATGGCATTAGGGGGACCCAGGAAGGGACCTAGGAGCACAGGGTGTCCTGAACGGGAAGGTAGGTGAAAGAGCAGGATGGGCCTTGGGCACTGAGCTCATGGAGATGAGCTCATCTCTCTTGAAAGAGAGCCAGTAGGAGATCGGCATGCTCACTGTCACCTCTCAGTGCTGCCCACTCAGCTGTCCATGGCTTGCTTGCTCAACATCCCTACTCTCTCCAGAGGCACCATGTTACTGTTCTCCATTCACTATAGACACACTGCGTCCCACCCACTAGACTGGACTTCCTGAAGGTGGATACCCTGCCTGTTCACAGCCCTGGTGGGCTCTGCTTCTGAGGTTCCCTACTTCTGGGCCATCTGAGGAACAGTAAGAAACCAAGGGGGCAGGTCCAGAGAGAGTGGGGAGGTGGGGAAAAGAGCTGAGGTTCGCGGTAAGGTAAGTAACAGGGACCCACCGTGACAGCATCGAGGGCCGCTGGAGGGATTGGACCTGGACCTTTTATTGAGGGTCAGCCATCGGAAGGAGTCCTTAAGCAAAGACATGACATAATCTGATTCACTTCTTAATAGGATCATGCCAGCTGCAGAATTGAGAAAAGACTGTAGAGTGGCAGGAATGAAACCAGGGAGACAAGTTAGGAAGTTGTTGCCTAATTCAGACGAGAGATGCTGGCAGCTTGGATGAGGGTGACAGTGATGGAAATGGCTGGATCCTGGGCATCTTTAGGAGGCAGAGGGAGAGAATTTCCTGCTGTCCTGGGAGTGGGTGGTGAAGAAAGAAAGGAGCCAAGATGACGCCCACATTTACGGCCTGTGCAAGTGGAACTGTGGGCTTGCGATGGCCAGTGATGGGCGGGACAGCTAGGTTTACAGCCTGTCTTTCCATGGCCCTGGCAGAAGGGTGGGGGGACAAGGAAACAGAAGGAGAGGCCCAAGAGTGATGGGGGGGTGCGGAGGGGGTGGTGTCATGGGCTGTGGTGCCCACTGCAGTGTCTGAGCTTTGGAATTTCATTACAAGAAACCTTCATTTCAGGAAAATACAAATAATGCAGTCACTTCAGTCTATTCTCTATATTTAGATATTTCTGGGCACCTGCATGCTGCATCCGCAGCCCCATTATATCTCTGAGAGGGTGCTGTCTTCTCTCGCCTTTTGCTAAGTGACAGGATTTACTGTGGCCTCTTGTGTTAGGCTTAAATCAGGCCTGGGGATGTGGACATTTTGCTAAGCAGGAACTCGGGTGCAGGGACTCAGTAATGAATGGGTCTTTCCACAAGCCCAGGGCATTTAATAACTTCCAGGTTATCCCCAAGTGATTTCCATGGGAGTGGACCAAAAATTGCCTATCAGTCTAAATGAAGTATGCCACCATTTCCCCCGCTTTCCAGTTACTTTTTAATTTCAGCACCACCTGCTCCTAGTTCCACCAGGGCTGACTCTGCCAGCATCGTCATTATGGGTTTTGTCCTTCTGTGATGTGTAACTCATCATGTCCCAGGCCTGTTTCCTGCTCAGTGGCTAAAAGAAATATTTGCCAGTGTATCAGCATCTCTGGCCGGAGAGATGTAAAATATGGGCTGCCCTCCTCATATCCAGATGAGATTTTGAACCCATTGGCAAAAGCGTACCACATCATTACGTTGTGTGTGTGTGTGTGTGTGTGTAAATTATTCTTGGCATCAAGGTAAATTCTACCCAGGCCTGGTATGTGGAAAGAGCAGGGGTTTCAGTGTCAGAAAGAACTGAGCTCAAAGCCTAGCTTTATGACTTATTCAGCTGGTGACTTGAGGTAGGTTATTATGTGCCTTGGGTTTTCCCAACAGCGACATGGGTATGGTAGCTGCCTCGTGGGATTGCCGTGGCAGTGAGACAGCGTATGAGAAACAGCCTGGCGCATGGTGGGCCCCTGGTCCACGTTCGTTGCCTTCCACGGCCTTACAGGTGCGGTCTCACGAGTTTCCTCATCTGTAAAATGGGGACACACTGAACATCGCTAGAGGTTACAAGCGCCGGCTTTGGTGTTGGGGCACTTGGGTCTGAGTCTCTTACTATGGGGTTGGGTCTCTTACTAGTTGTGTGACATTAAGAAATAACTTAATCTCCTTACACTCAGTTTTTCACTTGAAAAACAGAGATAAAAATAACACGGCCTTCAAAAGATTTTTGTAGGGATTAATCCAGTTAATTCCTGGAAAAACGCTTAGGACAGTGCTGGGCACAGAGCAGGCCCTCTGCAGAATATTCGCCCTCGTTCTCCAGGGATCCCTTTCCATCAGGGTGCTCTTTAGCTTGCGGTGAGTAAGCTCCCATATCAACTTTGCAAAGTCAACTTAGGTACTTGGTTTCACTTGATTCTCAAAATACTTGGGAGGTAGGAGAAAAGTTTTTTTTTTAAGCTATCATTTAACACATGAGAAACGAAAACAGAGCAGAGAGGTAAACTGCACAAGGGCACAGACGAAGTCAGTGGCAAAGCCCAAGTCAGACGGAGTCTCGTTAAGCCTTATTCCCCATTCTCCCCACTGTATGATCTTCTCAGCACCTGCGGGGTGGAGCACACGGGCCAAGTCCCTGGAGCATTGTGCAGTCCGGTGGCCCGTGTAACTCTTGAACCTGTGACTCCAATCTCATCTGGAATGATAAAATCCCTGTGCAGTTATTGTGTAGGTATTTTACATATATTATTTTGTTAAATAACCCCACATTCTTTATATCCTTAACAATGATGTATAAAAAGACTTTGCAAACAGGGATATGGTTAACAACCCTAATCTATTATTTTTAAGGTTTACTTATTTATTTATGAGAGAGAGGGAGAGAAAGAGAGCAGGGGGAGGGGCAGAGGGAGAGGGAGAGGGAGAGAATCATCAAGCAGACTCCCTGCTGAGCACGGAGCCTGATGCAGGGCTCGATCTCACAACCCTGATATCACGACCTGAGCCGAAATCAAGAGCTGGACGCTTAACCGACTGTGCCACCCAGGCGCTCCCTTAATCTATTTTTTTTTTTTTTGAGAATTGATTCACATACTATAAAATCCAACCTTTTAAAGTGTGTAATTCTGTGGGGTTTGGTATATTCACAAGGTTGTGCAACTATGATCATTATCTAATTCCAGAACATTTTTATCAGCCCCAAAAGAAACCCTGTAAACATTAGGAGTCACTCATTCCCTATTTCTACCCCCTGGTAATGACTCATCTACTTTCTGTCTCTGTGGGTTTGTCTATTCTGGATTTTTCATATAAATGGAGTCTTACAAGATGTGGCCTCTTGTGACTAGTTTCCTTCATTTAGCATAGTGTTTTCAAGGTTCACCAAGGTTCACCAAGGATGTATTAGTACTTCGTTTCCTTTTTATGGCTAAATAGCATTCCATTGTGTGGTCAACCACCTGTTGTTCATCCATTCACCAGCTGGTGGACATTTGTGTTGTTACCACTGGGGGGCTATTATGAATAATACGGCAATAACATTCATGCATACATTTTTATATGAATAGATGCTTCCTTCATTTTTTCTGTTTTTGTTTTTGAATATATGTTTTATTTACTTTTTTTAAAGATTTTATTTCTTTATTTTAGAGAGAGACAGAGAGCACCCAAACATGAGTCGGGGGGGAGGGACAGAGGGGGAGGCAGGGAGACAAGCAGACTCTTCGCTGAGTGTGGAGCCCAACGCAGGGCTCAATCTCACCACCGAGACCATGACCTGAGCCCAAATCAACAGTCGGATGCTTAAGTGACTGAGCCACCCAGGTGCCCCTGAATATATGTTTTAAATTCTCTTGGATTATATACCCAGAAGTGGAATTGCTGGGTTATATGGTTAACTGTATTTTAACTTTTTGAGGAACTGCCAAACAGTTTTCCAAAGCAGCTATGCCATTTGACGTTCCTGTCAGCCGTGTTTGAGAGCTCCAATTTCTCCACACATCTTCACCGAAGCTTGGTATTGTCTATAAGGTATTAATTTTATAAGGCCATATTTTTATTCTGAAAACTTTCCATCTTGGATACCATTAAAAAGATCACATTGCTTGGGGCACCTGGGTGGCTCAGTTGGTTAAGTGTCCTACTCTTGATTTCGGCTCAGGTCATGATCTCAGGGTCATGGGATCGAGCCCTGCGTCCCGCTTTGTGCTGGGCATGTAGCCTGCTTAAGATTCTCTCTCTCCCTCTCCCTCTGTTCCCCCCCCCAAAAAAAATTACACTGCTCAGTTAAATAGATAAGAGAGAGTCTTCAAAGTTCATGGGTCCAAGAGGAAAAAATATATTTGCTTCCTTGGATTTTTTTTTAATGGCATTTAAAAAAAAGAGATTTTACCTATTTATTTGACAGCGAGAGAGAGAGAGAGAGCAAGCACAAGCAGGCAGAGCGGCAGGCAGAGGGAGAGGGAGAAGCAGACTCTCTGCTGAGGACCCTGGGATCACAACCTGAGCCGAAGGCAGATGCTTAACTGACTGAGCCACCCAGGTGCCCCATAATTCCTTGGATTTTAAAAACAGCTTCAGTGGAAAAGAATCCTTAATTATTGGCTTGTATTGTATATTCCTATTTACCATTTATTTTAACATTTCTCCTTTGTACCTTCCTGTTTTAAGACATCATTTTCAAGGGTGTGCATCTTGGAATGGATTAAGCTACATGACCCTCAGGTCGGCTCGACCGCCTATCGCAGTAGCAGTACAACTCTGTGACGTGCCTGGCATAATCCTACGTCATGTAGGTATATTAACACCATCTTTACAGCAAGTTTTTGCGATAGTTACTATTGAAATCTCCTTTATGGAGATGAGGAAACTGAAGTACAGAAGGATTAAGTAACTTGCCCAAGGACACACAGCAAGTAAGTGGTAGAGAAGAGACTCAGACTGTAAAGCTCATGTATTTAACCCCTGTCTACTGTGGTCCTAATTTTTACAAACATTGTGGTCTTGACTTATTCTGGACTGATTCACTCTCTTATTCCAAGATCTTTAGGTAGAGCCTCGATTTGTTAAAGTGGTTTCTTCCTAGTACCAGGACCATAATATTACCATACATTTGAGTAATTCTATGAATTGAAACAATAAATATAAAGAAAATGCCAAGGTAAGGCTTTACGTCCTCTTCCAAGAACTCCTTGATCCCCTCATTCAGAATCATCTCTCACTACTCAGTCATACTTTGTATGACAATTCAGTCCGACAAATATTTTTGTGTCAAATATAGCTATAGGTATTGGGATGCAGAGATAAATAAGACAAGGTTCCTTCTAGCACTTACGGTAGTTTGGCATGCATTATTTACATGGTTCTCTGTCTCTTCCCTACTCCTTCTCTTTACTCCTTTCTCCAGGTGAATTAAACTGAAAATAAAATCTACATTTTAGGGTGAACTTTTATAACTTTTTTCTTACATGTCCACGATGAAATGTCCCCTTATCTCTCTAAGAGGAGAAGATATGGGATCCACATTTCTTGTCCTTCTTCCTAAAGAATGACTTACCTGAGTGGAGAGATCGAGGAAAGGAAGGGAGCAGGCAGGTCTCGGCACCCTTCTCTCCACCAAATGTGCCCTCCAGACCCTGGGCCTCTGCTAGTTTCCCATCTGAGGAAATGGAATCACCGTCCACCCAGCTGTTTAGGCCCCAGACCTAATAGTGTCCTTGATTCTTCTCTCTTCCTCATCACCCACTCTGAATCAGAGTCAAGTTTGTGACCTCTTTCTCCAAAAATGACTCCAGATCTGTCCACCTCCCTACACCCCCTCTGTCCCGGAGTCTGTCTCCCACGCCACCATTCCCCCTCTCCTAGCTCCTCCTTGTCCCCTGCAAGCCATTCACCACACAGAAGGCAGGATGATACTTTTAAAACAGTCATGCTACTCCCTTCCTCAAAAGCAGGCAATGGCTTTTCATTGCACAAAATAAAAATCCAAACTCCTGATGAGGCATAAATCTCTTTGTGATCTTGCTCCTGGCAACACCTCCCATTTTTTTCCCTCCAGAAGTCCTGTTCTCAGGATGGACACAGTTTTTGCTCCTACACATGCTAAGCTTTCAGGTAACTGTTCCTTATCTCTGTCCTGCCAAGGTCCTTTGCCAGGGAGCAAATCGTCATCCATCAGGTCTCAGCTTAAATGTGAAGTCTTTAGTGGTGCCCTCCCTGGCTACCCTATCCAAAATAGATCACTTTTACTGAAGATGTTCTCTTTCTCAGCATCCTTTGGTTTCTTTCTTCACAGGGCCTGTATTTGCTCAGTTATTTTTTGACTTCATACCATAGCCTGTCCTACGACTGCACAACTCCCTTGTGCCAAGAACCGGTCCTCGGCAATCTGATGTGGTCACTGCACTCAAATAAAAATGCCCCTTTAACTGAGGGGCATAGAAAGCAAGACAGACAGACATCACTGCCGCAGAATTGTGAAGTGCAGACACAGGACAGGAAACGCTGGTTGTTGATGCTCATGACAGCTAAGCTAAATTCACCTACAACTGCAAGAAAAGTGGAAGGACTCACTCCGTAATCTTCTTCCTTGTCTATAAAGACAACAATCCCGCCTACCCTACTGGGGCTAAGGTGGAATGCAACTGTATGTGGAAAAACACTACAAAGTGCTGCGACTAGGTAAGATGTGTGTTCACCTGCAATGCTTGTTGTTGGACACAAAAATGCTTGTTACTTCAAGCAGAATTTGATTCCTTCGCTTTCTGTTACTGCTGCTGCCAGCCTACTACACATTTGCAGCAGCTGCTTGGGGGTGTAAGCCAGGCTGCCTAGGAAGGCACAGTGGTGCAAAGTTCCTCTCCTTCCCCCACCAAGACGCGCTCACCCCTCAGCCTGCCCTGACTTCTTGAAAAGCTGGCCTAAATATGTCCCTTCTCAGAACCAGATGGGAAGAACCTGCTCCAAATTCTGACCAAACTGGGAAGAGCCTCTAGACTAACCAAACCGAAACCAAATATGGTGCATGCTGCTCTGGAGGGCACATAGGTGGGCACACGGACCGACAAAATAAGACATTTCATCCAGGCTTTGTCCAAGTAGTTCCAGAAAAATGGTTTGGAAATTTAGGTAGCATTATTAGTCACTTCGGTATCTAAGCAGTGTCATAAATGAGAGCTCTAGTCAGATAGCAATCTATCCGGTCCATTAGAAATCAAGTTTTCATTTCAGTTGGGCAAATATTCGGTACTTATTCCATGTCAGGCTCTCTTCTAGGAACTGGAGTACAATAAAGAAAACAGTCAGAGATCCCTATCCCATGAGGCATACATTGTAGTGGGGGAGACAGATAACAAATATAATCAAAAAGTTAGGTGCAGTTTTAACTAGTCAGGGACAGTGCAACTTGAGTAAAGAGTAGAAGATGAGCAAGTAGCCATGTGTATATATCCAAGCAAAGGGCATTCTATACCAAGGGAGGGGTCAGAGCAAGACTGGAGTGGGAGCATACCCTGGGGGTGTGGGGAGCAGCAAAGAAACTGATGTGGCTGGAGGAGCATGAGCAAGGTGGGGAACGGTGGGAGATGAAGTCAGGGAGGAAATGGGCACGTGATCATGCAAGGTCTTGTGGAGAATCCTGAGACTTTGGCTTTTACTCATGTGACATGGGGAACCCTTGGAGGGTTTTTATTGGAAGAGTAACATGACATATTTAAAGGATCATGACTACATGCTGGATAGAGAGTGGGTTAGGGAGGAGGGGCATTCATAGAGAGAATGATTATTGGACTATTCCAATAACCTGGGTAGAAAGATGATGCTGGATTGGACCCAGAAGTAGACAAGTTTTAGATGTATTAGGAATATACAGCCAACAGGGTCTTCTGCAAATTATTGTGGATTAGTTAAAGAGTTAACATGCTTAAGAATACTGTCTCTTTTGAAGATTAAAAAAAACAAAGTTCCAGTGTATTATCTCATGTGATCCTTATGACAACCTTGTGATGTAGGAGGGGTTGGCTGCCTCAGTCCCAGCACTGGTGGTGAATGGTTCTCCTGGGGCCAGTCAGCATGGTCATCGGCTGAATTGGGACTCTCAGCATCTCAGTCCCAGGTTCCTCTCTTGTCTCTTTTCTACTGGCTGCTTTTGCCTCTGAGTTCTTATTTAGGTCTTACCCTCTATTTTCCAAGCTCCCACTGGACCGGCACCATCTTTAATGGCCTCACTCATATCCATCCAAACCTCCAAACGCAGCGATTCAACAAGGACAAACGGGAGTCAACAAAGGCTTTCTGGCTCCCAGGCCCCGAGCCTCTACCCCCTCTTTGCCTTTCATGTCCCCCTCAGGTGTCTCCGCCTCTGACACTGCTCGTCTGGACTGAATTCAATTATTTCTCGCACTCTCATTACAGTCTGACCAAGATTTATGAGTTGATAATTGTCTGAAAGTAAGACCACAAAGTATCATTTGTGTTTGGGGCTAACCTTCCCGGTGACCTTTAGGATTAAAGACAAAATGAAAAGTGTGATTTCTGCAGAGCCAAACAGGGTAACGTGATCCAACCCAGCTAATGATCCAAAGCCTCAGATTTCCCTGGTGGAGGACACATTAAAGCTGGCACAAAGGGGGACAGCTAATCCCACAGGTTCATTTCACAAATTAATTTTTTGAAGGCGTCACAACCTCCCCCTCTCACTTCTGGGTGCATTCTGAGTGACGTTTTCCAAACAGGATGATGACAACAGCTCACACCTCTAAGACCTTTATTGGATTATTTTTACAGGCTATTGAAAAACACTTTTTTGAGAAGCCCTAATTGAAAACAGACCTCTCCCCCTGCCTGAGTTAGCAAATGGAACATCACAAAGGGTGAGAGGAAAATGAATTCATGGAAACTTTCCCAGGTCGGTGGGTGAGACCTGATCACTCACTTCCCTGAAGCACTGCGTGCACAATAATGACCCTTCCTGATAGCTCTTCCTCACATGCCCCAACGATCCAAAGACACAAGTGCAAAGAAGACCCGTCTTGAGACTCAGTTTAAAGCTTCCAGCCAGCCCAAAGCAGTTGGGAGGCATTTGGGGTTCTCTGTCGGGAATGTGCAATACTGGGTCATTCGGAGTTAGAAGGCCACTTCCTAAGGGAAGAGGGGCAGTTGGCTTCTGTCCCATGCAGGGAATCATAAAATGAGAAGGCCTAATAAATATGAAACTGTGATAATGTCTTCCTTCTGCTCTGGCAAACTTGATGGTCAGTTCAAGTATTTATTGTACCAGGCACTGTGCTGGACCCTGTGAAACAATTTCTGCAAATCCTCAAGGAACTCGAGGGCTAGAATCTCCCCTGGAGGCAAGCAAGGACACAGGACTCTGCTCAGGCTGGGGCTGGGAACAGGTTGCGGGGATTTGCAGGGATTGGCCTGGGATCAAGGGGGACCAAAGCCACTGTGCTTGGAGAAGGGAGACTCAGGAAGTATGGACTGCTTATGGTGTCAAATCCAAGGGGTTGGGGCACAGGGGTAAAAGATGAAGACTGGAACTTCGTGAAGTCAGGGATCATCTTTGTATTTTCCATCATCGTACTCACAGTGCATCTGGTTCACCAAAAGGTAAGATCAACCATTGCTTAATTTCATGATCCTCTCCTCCCCCCATAGGCAACGTGTGATAATATCTCTGAACATGTATATTATTTTGGGCCAACTGTTTGAACACAGTCTTGAAAACATGCATTTATCCCATTTTGAGGGGTTTCTTCACTTTATTGTGTGTTTTCTGTGCAGCCTTTTTTTTTTTTTTTTAAAGATTTTATTTATTTGAGAGAGAGAGCATGGAGAGAGAGAAAGAGAGGGCGAGCATGCGAGAGCATGAACGGGGGAGGGGTAGAGGGAGAAGCAGGCTCTCCGCCTAGCAGGGAGCCCGATGCGGGACTCGATCCCAGGACGCTGGGATCGTGACCTGAGCCGAAGGCAGACGCCTAGCCGACTGAGCCACCCACGTGCCCTGTCGTACAGCATTTGAAACCAGCCTGACACCAACATGTACCTGTGTTGCAAGGCAGATGCCACCATAGATTCTGGAGTTAGGCTGTCTGTTCCATCTGTAAAATGGGGATATCCGTCGTGGGGGAAAGCAGGCAAAGCAACTAAAACAATACCCAGTCTATGTTAAATGCTCTGGAATGATTATTAAGTGCTCGTGAATGATTATCAAGATTATTTATTAACATAAGCAATGCAATCTCTCAGATATCTGTGACACCTTCCAGAAAACTCCTCACTCTTTCCTGACCCATTTGTTCTCTTTCTGACCATGACTTGGCCTCATATCAACTCTGCTCTACACCTTCTTTGTGGTCTGCTGTTAGCACTTTGTCTCATCTGTGTTTGGCTTTCAGTTCCCCTTAAATATTGGCTGGGCCCGCACCTCTGGCTCTTGCCAATCCAGATGGCTTCAAGTAAGCTCTCAGCTCACATCTGGCCTCTTGAATCCCCACCCTGCCGCTGGTGCCCCGGTCACCCCTCTGTCCAAGTGATGTCCGTCTAGAAGTGTGCTCAAGTGGGTTGAAACCACTGGTCAAAGTCAATTGTTAAAAGCTGTAGGAATTTTATAAGTTGGTTGTTAAAGACAGCCACTACTAAAACTCAAATTATATCAATCCCCAATCAAATAAATGATATTTAAAACAGAGTTAATAAGTACTCAAAATTTATTGCCTCCAAATTATTTTATTAACTTTCACTCTGATCCGTACTTGGGATTCTTCCGTCTGTTGTAACTATACGGAAGTACTATGTAATGGTGTATTACTGCACGCTTTTTTCCAGGTCTCTGTTCTGTGATGTCATGTTGCTAGCTTCAAACTGGTCATAAGTCTGTTAGGAATGTCACCTGCTCAGATTTCTGACTCTGGACACAGTAAGACACAGCCAGAGATGAAATTGCCCTTCAGCTGAAAAGATGCCTTCTAACATGCAGTTTGGGACAACTGGAATCTGTAGGAAAAATGATCTGCATGGTGGCAATTGGCATGACCTACATATTAGGACTTCTTTTCCCTTGGAGAGCTGGTTATTAAGCACTGACCTGCACCCCACTGGGTCCAGCTCTCTCAGCGTGGCCCACGGAGGCCGCTCAGACTTCTGCCATAGCAGTTACCACACTATTCCCCATTGCTGGGGTATCATTGTACCCTTTCCTGCTCTATGACCAGGTTGAGGGTAGGGACCAGCATCTATTCATTTTTGGAACATAGTCTCCCGTTCCCTATGCTGCCCTAACCCTAGCGTATTTGCAGAATGAAAACTTGAATGTGGACTTATGAAAAGGTGGTTTCTGGTAACATCTGCCAACCTTTCCCAGCCTTCCCTCTTGATTTGATCTCACAGTGTGACAAATGGAGAAAGGATGAATGGCATCAAGGACTGTAACCCCATTCATTCTTAGAACTGGAAGAGTTGGGTTTCAGTTGGGGTGGAGTTCTTGAGGATACTTTGTGGCTAATCTTCTGGACCAACATGTTTTGTGCCAGGCCGTTTCTATCAGTAGTAATTATGTTTTCAAAATGGGTTAGTGTGTGTGTGTGTGTGTGTGTGTGTGTGTGGTATAGCTAGGAAGAAGATTCACGTTGTTGGGGTATAGGAGGGAGAAGGTAAGAAGGTGGCTGTTTAAACATTATTTATAGACGCTCAACATGTTCCAAAGTTAGAAAAGTTTTCAGTGATCAAACTATTGATACAAACATTTACATTCAAGGCTTTTGCCTTAAATTTGATGCCTGCATTGGAATGTCTAAATAGTGAATAGCAGCTCCTTGTAACTGGGAATTGAGGAGCCTAGGAAATAATATATAGCCCTGGGCTTGGTACATTCATAAATTTCATATAATGATAACTAGTTAACACTTTTCAAAGAGTCCTAGGCAACATCCCATATGAACCTTTACATTTAAAACTCAGCCTCACACATTTTATAATTAAATAGCCTTCCAAGTGACTTATAACCTGGGGTTTTTCTTTTGCCTTAATAGACTACCTTGGCACCTTTTGGCATTGGGTGCTTGCCTTTTGGGAATAATCCTGAGTTCTGGAGAATAAAAAGCCACTGCCTGTACTTATGCAAAAGGATAATCTCCCAAGGGAGACCCAGGGGTCCTCCCTCCCCAGTAACCTGAAACATGGTGTTGGGTAAGTCTGTTAGGAATGTCACCTGCTCAGATTTCTGACTCTGGACACAGTAAGACACAGCCAGAGATGAAATTGCCCTTCAGTTGAAAAGATGTCTTCTAACATGCAGTTTGGGACAACTGGAATCTGTAGGGAAGATGATCTACATTTGCTTTAAAAATTGCCTCATACAACGGGTTGCTGGTTTTCTTTCTAAAATAGTCATCTGGATCTTGTAGCTCTAAGACTGTGGACACACTTCCTAGGTCTGAGGTCTCTCCACTAAATCAGAGCCAGGCATTAAAGGACCTTAGTGAAAATTAATGTACATTTATTGTTATTTCTACTCAAAATAATCATAATGCTAGCTAACATTTCTTGGAGTGTTGCTAGAAGCCAGGCGTACTCTAGGACCTGAATATGTATAACCTCATTCAGTCCTATATGAGCTGGGTGTTATTATTACCATTTCTATTATTTACTGGGAAGAAAATTGAGCCTTAGAGACATAAGTAACTTGCCCATGTCACACAGCTACCTAGAACCCAGGGCAGGGTGGGATGGAGAGGGTAGAGAGAGGACCTGGGAAGAGAATACATCCAGCACAAGATCCCTGCCTACGGGAAGGGAAGGTGCTGCTTCTGAGAACTTTTGTTTCACTTCTATGTATATGTGTTTGTAACTACTATGGTTACTGGGCTACCATGTAAAACGTATTTTTTACAGTAGATCAGTAGAAGAAGAAAAGTTTGAAGAACATTTTAAAGACAACAGGGACTCCCAGGTGTTTCAGCAGGGAATGGACCAGATGACTGGATCAGATCTGTCACTTAGGGTGATCAGCCCTGGTTGCTTTGTGCAGGTGGCGGGGGGGGCGGGGACCAAGGCCAGCCAGGTGAGTTAGGTGGCTGCAATTGTCCAAGTGATGACTGATTTCCTCCTAATTGTGGGAAGACTGTCCATTGTGCATGCAAAAAATCTGGCCTATTCTATTCTCTTGAGAGGCAGGATGGCATGGGTACTATGAGCATGAACTCTGGCTCACTGGTCCTGAGCAAGGTCTCTAACTTTTGTCTGCCTGTTTCCTCA